TCAAAATCGGTAGTGTATTTTCTTGGCCTTTATTGTAGAAAACAATACTTTGTCAAGAACATAATTATATGGATAAAGAAAAACTAGTGAAACAGTAAGATTGTCGTAAATTTGCATGTTAATAAGCGTCCCTTTCAGGACAATAAGTGATTTATATATAGAACTAATGAATTAATTAAAGTGTATTTACATAAATTGACTGTAGAACATGATTAACTCTAACCATTGATTACATGTTGAGACATGTATGATGATCTCATCATGATTATGGTTAGACTTCGTGGAACTATGAGGTCATATCCACCTGTCATGGCGGCCTAGCAACGCATCCCTAGCAATGGGTCCTTTGGTGACACTTCTTGGAGCTATGACGCCATCCTCCCTGGTGAAATCATTGCATAGCGCCGGCTCCCTCTAGTGACACTTCGTGGAACTATGCCATCATTCTCTCTGGTGACATTATCGTCTCTCTCTTATTGCCTAAGATCGACACACGTTTAGCGTCCTCTGGCGGCTTTGCTTGCAACACTCCCTTAACTACTTGCATCATATCGAATTTTTTTGTAATAATTGTTCAAATGGCAAAAACATAATTTTCAAATTCAAGTTTGCTCTCTCCCCCGAGTTGCTTATAAGTAAGTCTGAAGATTTCTGACGCTAAAAACTGAGTTTCAATACTTGTGATGAGCATAGCACAGGTAGCCCATTGTGTAGTTTGTCTAAGGTCTTAACTGTAGTATAGCAAATTTTGATCCACGCAAGAAAACGTTTTCAGCTACATTTAAAATGTAAATCACAAAAATCAAATAATACTTCAATAGGCTGCTTTATAAACATATCATTATTTTGTTGTCATCTCAACTGACTCAACTTATCCAGATGCTTTTGTCTACATTTATTTAATCATTTATTATTGTGTGTAAAATTAGATTTAATTAAATGTATATAGTCTATATTACTGACATGCTTTTTATTTTATTATTTTAACAGAAAATGTAGTCCTCAAACTTATCTTTTGTTGTTTTACAGTTTTGAATTTTTTTGTTTGATTTCAAAATTTAAGAACAGTTTCTTGATTTGTTAATATCATTTAGAATAACAGAACTGACCAACAGACACTTTAACATTAGGAATTCAGGTGTAATATTCAAGTTTTATAATCATTTAAAACTTGTGATGTATTGACTTTTACAGTGTTTATTTTACATTGTTTCACTTTTTCTTTGTCGTGATGACACTGAATAACCACATCGATGGGTCACGATGACAGCAATGTTTGTATGAAAATAATTTATTTTAAAATGATATGCCAAATTATATACCACATAATGTGGTATATTAAATCTCAATATTTAGAAATCTACAAACCACAAAACGAAACTTACTTTCAAAACATCACTTTATTTTTACATAGTTACAGTTTAGACATTGATTTTGAGTAAAAATTAGGGTCGTCATATGGTACGTTCTATTCTACAATAAAACAAATAGAGACAGTCAAATGGCAATTAAATCAAAAACAAAAATTATCCAAGATAGATTCATTCACAAAAGCTGATAAGCATTACATGCATACTGATCAAATACTACTCAACTTGACATACCATACTCAACTCAAACATACAAGAAGTTTCAAGTGTTATAAAATAAATAGTTACACCATATAGGAATTAAATCACATGAATATCTAGCACATCAAAATAATATTAAAATTTCTCCTACTAATTAGGCATACACGCACACAAAATTATTGAAAATAGATCTGAGATCAATAGTTTGTTGAAATTATAAGCTCTAAGAAAAACGGAATTTTCTTTCAATCAAAAAGTTATTGAGTTATATTGGCATGCATTGTAGAAGTGTCACAGAAACAGTTCTAATCTTTCTTAATACCATCAGAACCAAATGTGTTTGGTTCTTCATTTATGCTCTCAAAGAAGCATTGAAAATATTAAATGATGTTCTGAATGAGCTCTTTTCCTTTTTATATGAAGAGAAGTAAACAAATCACTTTCGAAAATAGTACAGGCATCATAAAAATGTATTGCCTAGAAAACATGAAATCTTTCACAACAAACAGTTGTTTATATTCTTTTACATCCATTTGTTCTTCCGCGACGAAACATTTGAAAGAAAGAAGACAAAAAGCTACTTCCAAATCTTTACAAAACAGAAATTTACAAGTTGGTGTTTGCTCATTGATTCAATTTTTGAATTCATCCCGGATTTATTCCAAACCTTTTATTTTCTGTTGTTGCTGTATAAACACTCGCAGACAAACCGGAAACCAGACAGATGGTAAAGATACAACCACAGGTGTATAGAAAACAGGTCAAAGAAGGTGTTTCTATCTTTTGCTTTATCATTTTATAGTTTGTTTTAATTGAAAAATAAATTAACGCAGTGATAGAGTTTTTCGCTTTATAACGCCATTATATATGTACGATTGTAAAATGATTTTATTTCTTAGTTTTATGACATTAATAGCTTAGTTTCTATTAAATACAAAGTGTATAATCCTATTTTATAAATAAAACTCAATTAATATAATGAAAGAAATAACGGTGATGTTCAGGAATTTGATCGAAGACAAAGACATCAAGAATAAGTAGGAAATTTTTTATAAAATACGCTGACTTGAAAATATGAGAACACCAACAGTGAAATAACCAAGTATTTATTTTTCAATCTCTCAATTCATGAAGCCGTGAAGTCTATATTGAAAGACAGAATGTCACTACTTTATATAGCAATGTCTCGTAGTTATGTTATCTTAAGACTTATCGATCTATTGCTGATTGGAATAGCGATTTCTTTCATCATTGTTTCAACATGAAAAGCACAAAATATATCATCATGCGTTTACGTCTACATACACCACTGACGAGATCGATTTTTAATACCTTCATTATTTTCGATTTATTTTTATTATAATTCCCAAATTTAATTTATATAATTGTTTTTATGATTCATTCGTTCATTGACCTATCTATGTTTAACTCAAGAGCATATGGGATTTAGTAATGTGAATAACTGTAACTGTCATGTTGTAAAAAATAACACTAAGAAAAGTAATACGATAATACTTGCCTCCTATAGATATATTTGCTAACTTCTTTAAATATACACTCGAAGCCATATATATTAGTTTTGAAACAAACACTCAAGAAAAAATATTATTTCTAATTTCTGCTTTGTTTATTCATCATATGTGTGATAAGGGATACAAACTGGTTATTTTTATCCCAACATCCAGGGGAAGGAACATCAAAGATATGGCAAACTCTATCACAGCTGGTAAAATTAATATCACGTCAGAGATATATATATTAAACTCTTTTTTTTTCTTCACATGAACTCGTTTTAAAATAATAATTTAATAGTTTTTATGTAAAATTTCAGCAAAGTTGTTAGTATATTTGAAAATACAGTTTATACCTTCTAATTGAAGATAATCTTGATGCGACGTATTTCGATTTTTGGCGTGAAAGGTTAACCTCAAAATCAGCGTTAGTGATTATTTTGCGTATTTTTCTACTAAATGTCTCCTGGTGGTACTAACATGATGAAAAGCTAGATAAGACACACTTACTATTCTGTGCAAATTACACATTAAGTTTCAACCCAAGGGAAAGAATACTAACATAAGTTGAAAGCCACAGTAATGTCAAACAATAGAAAAATATTACTTAGAGCGCCCAAGAGGAGGAAACCTTTAGTGTTTTAAAATAACCATGAGAAACTCTTTCATAATAATCGTCCATTGGCTGGAAACGATTTTAAAGTTTTCCTAGATGTGGGGTACAAATGTGGTGCTGATTAAGATTGTTTCTTTAGAAGTGTCTCAGGTTAGTTATGTCGAAAATATATAAAAGTAAATGAAAAATGTATTTAAATCGGTAATAAAATACATCGTAAGTCCTAGAATATTTTAAATTGAAACTCATATTTGGTTAAATTTATGTTGGAAAATTAACCCACAAATAACGGTTTCTTAATCAATACATGATACAAAGTACTTTTTTTATAATGTTATTTTAATCACATAAAACAATGTAGACTTTGAATTACTTTCCGTTTTCTTATAAAAAAATGTCCCCGGTGGGTAAGCAATAAGTTTACAGCTTTAAAATCCGGAGTACGATTCCTTGCGATGGACAAATATCCCATTATGTAGCTTTGCACTAAGAAAACAACGACGACATACATTGAACCATACTATCTTTCTTTCTGTTTGTTTCCCGAATTATAAGTTGTGACCTGAAATATTTTTCATAAAATGCTTTGCAAGCGTCAACGCTACAAACAAGGGAAAAGAGTGTGATTGCTATCGCCCAACACCTTAATATTTTTATATTATCTAAATACTTTGATGAGTAACAGTAAATAAACAGGCATTCTCAGTACAGTTGTCTTTCCTTTAACAATAAAGAATATAACATACTGAGTATGATTAAATTAAAATAATTAGAGTTATCTTCAACAATGAGATACGTGCTTCTTAAATTATTCCAATGTGGGGTATAAATGTTGACTTACATTGAACCATACTATCTTTCTTTCCGTTTGTTTTCCCGAATTATAAGCTGTGACCTGAAATATTTTTTTATAAAATGCTTTGCAAGCGTCAACACTACAAACAAGGGAAAAAATGTGATTACTATCGCCCTACACTATAATATTTTTATATTATCAATAGAAATTTTTATAAAATGATTAATCGTTCGACTATTAGTTTCAGAATGGATATAT